TACTATTTCCTTCTCCCCTCCCTTCGTCCTCCTGCACTAAGTATAGAATGAAAACGCAATGGGGATGTAGTTGGCGAGCAATGATATCCCCTGTCCCATGACCTCCTTCTCCTCCCGATCGGAATACAAGAAAGCATACAGTTTGAATACACTACCAACGTGCAGTGAGGATCCCTTCCCCCCTCCCTTTCCCCCTCCCTTCCTCCTCCTCTTCCAATAGGAGTAAAGTAACAAGGCACTAAGCATAGAAGCAACTACAATATGAATACCGTCTTCGCTCGCTTCCTTCTTCTTCCAATCGGAAATCAGTAGGGATACAATGTAAATACAATCATAATGCAATGCGAAGTCCTTCCCTCCCTTGCTCCTTCTCCAATAGGAATACAACATAAACGCCATGTGAATAGATAGCATTCAATAAAACATCCTCGTCCCTTCCTTTCATCCTCCTCCAATCGGAACCCACATGGGATTACAATGCGAATGCCATAACATGCAATGCGAAATATGTCCTTCCTCCCTTCCTCTTCAAATAGTCATGCATTCGGGTCACAATAGGAACACACTAATAATGCAAGAACACATCATTATCCCCTTCCTTTCTCGTCCGATCGGAAGACGATATGATCACAGTATGAATACAATATGTATGCAATAAGATGTCCGTCCCCCTCCCTCATTCTCCAATACGCACACACTTGATATGTAATGAGACCGCGATTATCTTACACTGAGAGTCTCTTCTCCCATCCCTTCCTCCTCGCCCAACGGGAATACTGTAGGAATACTGTGCGCAGTTAAAAAAGCGCAATATGAATACATTGAGCATCGAGTGATGATTCCTTCTCCCCCAATCCGTCCCCCCGCAATACAACTACAGTACGAACATAATGATAATATGCAATCACGATCCCTCCCCCCATCCTTCCCTGTCTTCCAATGGGGAGGAGGGAGGGATGACGAGGAGGAGGCCAGGAGCTTTCTGCCTCCACAAATGGAGTCAATCTGAGGGACCCCTCCACATGAGGAGTCAATATGTGGAGGTTCCTCCACAAAAAGGAATCAATATGTGGAGTCGCCTCCACACATGGAATCAATATGTCGCGGCCCCCTCCCAATAAGGAGTCAATATATGGAGGCTCCTCCACGCATGAAATCAATGTGTGGAGGCTCCTCCACACATGGAATCAATATGTGGCGGCACCCTCCACAAAAGGAATCAATATGTGGAGGCTCTTCGATTAATGCAGTCAACATGCGGAGGCATATGTACGTTTTGTGTTGATCGGCTGCATGCGCAGACGCATACATACATATGCGAGGATGTGCCACCAGATGATGAGGTTCACGAGAAATGCAGGGGCACCGATATGCGCGCGCCCCGCATGTATATATACCTAACAGCTTTTGCTGATAGGTTTCTAGTGGTGTCAAAAGAGAGCATCATGACTCCTCAGGGGGGTCTGGGCGGGTGCCGGGGAGGAGAACCGGGAATCGTTTTTCGCCAACAGTCACACACTTCGTGCTCTTCGACCTCCCAGAACTCCATTCCCGGGACACATTCTGGAGAACCGGGAACAGAGCCGGGCTCGCTTTTCGCCAACAGTCACACACTTCGTGCTCTTCGACCTCCCAGAACTCCATTCCCGGGCCACATTCTGGAGAACCGGGAACAGAGCCGGGCTCGTTTTTCGTCAACAGTCACACACTTCGTGCTCTTCGACCTCCCAGAACTCCATTCCCGGGCCACATTTTGGATGCCCGGAGCCAACTGTAGGCCACTTCGTGCTCTTCGACTTCCCAGAACTCCATTCCCGGGCCACATTTTGGATGCCCGGAGCCAACTGTAGGCCACTTCGTGCTCTTCGACTTCCCAGAACTCCATTCCCGGGCCACATTTTGGATGCCCGGAGCCAACTGTAGGCCACTTCGTGCTCTTCAAGTTCCCAGAACTCCATTCCTGGGCATGATTTTGAATGCCCGGAGCCAACTGTAGGCCACTTCGTGTTCTTCTAGTTCCCAGAACTCCATTCCTGGGCCACATTTTGAATGCTGAGGCAGGCTGATGCTGCGGCCGAGGCAGGCTGAGGCTGAGGCAGGCTGAGGCTGAGGCCGAGGCTGAAGGCAGACTGAGGCTGAGGCTGAAGCAGACTGAGGCTGAGGCTGAGGCAGGCTGAGGCTGAGGCTGAAGCAGGCTGATGCTGAGGCAGGCTGAGGCTGAGGCTGAGGCTGATGCAGGCTGAGGCTGAGGCAGGCTGAGGCTGAGGCCGAGGCTGAAGGCAGACTGAGGCTGAGGCTGAAGCAGGCTGAGGCTGAGGCTGAGGCAGGCTGAGGCTGAGGCAGGCTGAGGCTGAGGCTGAGGCAGGCTGAGGCTGAGGCTGTGACTGCGACTGCCGTTGCCGCTGCGACTGTCATCGCGAATGCGACTACGACTGCGAGAACAGCAGAATTCTACAACTGGATTTTCATCTGAATCTTAAGGGGAATGCTTTCAGATATGCTTCTACATATCGCTGTTAGGTTGCTTTGCCGGGATAATTATATATATATATGTATATAGAGAAAGAGAGGGAGAGAGAGAGAGAGAGAGAGAGAGAGAGAGAGAGAGAGAGAGAGAGAGAGAAAGAGAAAAAAAGAAAGAGGGAGAGAGGAACTCAAAGAAGAATAGAGAGAGAGAGATGGATAGAGAGAGAGAGAGAGAGGGACAGAGACCAGGAACCGAAAACTCGGAACTGGGAGCCACGGGAACCCCAGAACAAGGAACCGGCAACCCAGAACTGGGAACTGGGAGCGGGGAGTCGGGAATTGGAAGCCGGAGGCGGGGAAACGGGAACACGGTGCCGGGAATTGGGAACCGGGGGCCGGGAACCTGGAGCCCGGAACCGAGAACCAGGAGGAGCTGGGAACGGGGAGCCGGGAGCCAGGAATTGGAAAGTGGGAGCCAGGAGTCGGGAATTGGGAGCCAGGATCCGGGAACCGGTAACCGGGAACAACGGGGAGCCGGGAACCGGGAACCTGGAATTGGGAACCAGGAGCGGCGAACCGGGAACCCGGTGCCGAATTGGGAACCAGAAGCCGGGAAATGGGAATTGGGGGCCGGGAATTGGGAATTGGGAGCCAGGATCCGGGAACCAGGCAACCAGGCACGGGCGGGGAGCTGGGAACCGCGAGCTGGGAACCAGGAGCTGGCTGGAATTGGGAATCGGGAGCCGGGAACCGCGAACGGGGAACCAGGAACGTTAACCGTGGGAACCGGAGACCAGGAACCAGGAACCGGGAAACCGGGAAGAACAAGGAACCTGGAACCGGGAACCGAGAATCGGGAACCGGGAATTGGGAGCCGGGAAAAACGGGGAATTAATGAGCCGGGGGCCGGGAACAGGGAACCCGGAGCCCAGAACCAGGATGCCGTTTACGCGCGGGATATTCCCCGCGCGTGGCTGGCATCCGGGTTCTAGATGGTTTCTTAGAACCACCCTTGTTTCTAAGAAGGCGCGGGCTTTTCTAGATGTAAGGCTGGCGCCTTCAAGAGGAGTAACCGGGAACCCGGAACTGGGAACGGGGATCCGGGAGCGGAACCAGGAGTCGGGAACCAGGAAAAACCCGGAGCGGGGAACCGAAACCTTGGACCCCGTACGTGGGAACCGGGAGCCGGGAACCCGGACCGGGAATTGGGAACCGGGAGCCAAGAATTTGGAACCAGGCCCGAACCAGGAATTGGGAGGGAACCGGGAACCAGGAACCAGGAACCGGGAATTCGCAGACTAAAATATTCCCCTGGAAGACAAAGCTTCGTGGCTATTCTGCGGCCCCTCTGGCGTGGTACTGTCAGCAGTTTTCAAGTGTCTGGTCGTATATATTTTCATGTTCCGCGCATCATGTGATTTATCAGCGTTCGGTGGGGCTTGTCATAGGCACGGAGTGCATTGTAGACATTATAGGAACGCAGTCTAGGCACGTTTCGACACGTTTAGCCACGATTTTAAACATGTTTAGCCACGAGTAGCCACCAAATAGCCACGCCATGCATTTTAGCCACGTTTAG